TTCACCCCCACTGTAGCAGGGAGTGAAATTAATCTGATAAGATAATCTTTTAATAGACGGTAAACTGCAAAAATAATTAGTTAGATATTGAATGTTCCAGTTTTATGGATAAATGGGTAAATATATATTTACTCACAGGATATTTAAAGAACTTTGCAAAATTAAAATAAGCAAAAATATCCAGGCGGAGATTTGAAACTTAGACTCAAAGGGTTGAAGTGATTATTTTGTTGAAATGATGCAAATTAAAACCAGTAAACTCCCATCATTCACAGTGGCTCGTTCACAGATTCTGGGTATAAATAGAGCAGGCGAGTCGCTGCTGCTGCTCAGATCCATTCAAGGTTTTCCTTTGGGTTTGTAGCGACTCTGCTGAAGTGTGATCACAGGAACAGAAGCAAAGGTCACACTTTTATTCAAGACGGCCTATTTTTGTTGCTGCAACACATTTTACATGGAGTCAGAGTGAAATCACTTAAAATCTGCTCCAGTTACACATTTTAATGAAGGTTTGTAGAACCAGTACTTGGCTTTTAAATCATAATTACTATGAAACCAAGAGAGATTAATGCTGCATTGATTTTACTACACCAATAATTACTCAAACAAGAAATAAACTGGAGTATCAAGAGAAAATCCAACATGCAAACGCCACGATTCAAACCAGGATCCTCTCGATACCAAACAGGGCTTCTTCCTCCACTACTGATCTGCTACGGCGATCTCTAGTCACAATGGGTTTTCATAACGCCTTTATTTCGTTTTGCTGCTAAAACAATTATTCTTGAATCTACAGGGCTGGACGATATGATTGAAAATTGTATCACGATATAAATGTTTCATATCAGCAGAGGGCAGAGAACCCAAAGTTACACCAAAGTAAGGGTAGAACTACTTCAACATATTTTTACTCAAGTAAGAGTAAAAAGTCTGAAAAGTAACAATTATCAATCATTTAATATTTAATAAGTACATAATCAGATGAACAAAAGTATAAGTTAAGAGGAAATGTTGGTGTTTTAAGGACCAAATTGACAATAATTTATATAAATAAAAAATAACAAAGACAGGCAAAAGAAAATTTTTCCATGTCAGTTTCTTTCAATAAAAAAAATTGAGGAAAGTATTTTGAATTTTGAATCAATCAATCAAATTGTATTTCTATAGCACCTTTCAGCAACAAGGCATTTCAAAGATTTTGATGTTTTCATCAACCTTTTCTAATGCAAACTTTCAAAAAAAGAAAAACTGTTGATGGAAACCAGAGTCAGGTAGGAACTAGTTACATTTACTTGAGTAACCTTTTTTTAAAAATATATATCTATATACTTTTAGAAGTATTTTTACTCTCACTTGAGTAAAATGTCTGGATTTTCTTCCCACTGAATGAAAAACAAAAAATAACCAAAAATCCACCAGAAACAGAAACAGACCTGCAGGTTTCATAAGTTTTATATTTAAAGAAACAGAGTTTCTCTTCCTTTGTTTGATTTTGTTATTTTGTAATTATATTATTTACATGGATTATTTTCATTCTGGCCCTTAAAATACCAACATTTCCACATAACTTTATATTGTGATCCATCCGACAATGAGCTTTAAATTTTAAATCAATACTTTTTAACTTTTGTATTAATTTCTCTATTGGCTGCTTTTTACTTTTACTTGAGTAAAAACAGTGGTTTTACTCTTACTTGAGTCCATGTTCTGATTTCTCCACCAGCTCCGACGGAGACACAGAAGAAACAAAACGAGAACAAACATCCGCTTCACCTTCCAGCATCTTTGGAGACGGTCACAGCGACTCCCAGTCCGGCCGTCGCAGTCACTCTCTTGCAGACCGACTCCATGTCAATAACTGAGTTGATACAGTCTGGGCCTCCCACAATGCAACACTGCGAGTCTGGACAGAAGCTGCTGTTGTCCAGGCCTTTGTAGCCGTGATTTCTGCCGCACTTCTCCAGCGTCACAGTGGTGGCCATCCCTGAGACTCCCACATGGACGATGAGCTGGACAAGAAACTGATTGTTAGAACCACTGAGGCGGCTTTACAACAATGTTACTATGAGTTTATGTGGCAGAAAACAACTTAAATTGAAGCAAAATGTGTTATGGTGAATGTTGTTTCAAGGTCAAAGAGGAAGACAGTGTTTATCCAAGAGTCTAAAATACATAAAATCTGAGTCAAACAGACGAGATGCAGCTCTGGAAAAAAGAGACCACTTAATATGATCCGTTTCTCTGATTTTACTTTCTATAGGTTTATGTTTGAGTAAAGTCAACAGTGTTCTTTTATTCTACGAACTACTGACAACATGTCTCTGAAATTTCAACAAAAATTTTGTTTTTATTTGCAGAAAATGAAAAATGGCCAAAATAATGAGAAAGATGCAGCACTTTCAGACCTCAGATAATGCAAAGAAACAACAATACTGATGTTTAACTCAGGAAGAGTTCAGAAACCAATATTTGGTGGAAAACCAGGAGGTTTTCAGTGCAGTGGGCTCTTAGTGTTTCTATCTCAGACATATTAGGGACCAAATTCAACCTTTAATAACACGGTAATAACACGGTTATAACACCAGATGTATGTGATTTTCCGTCTTACCCGTGGATGAAACTGCTTCCACAATGAGGGAACCAAACTCTGGACCTTCTGGTACTCTACAGGAACCTCGTGTACATGCAGGTCCACATTGTTCCCCAATCCAAGTTTCTTCATTTCCTGACAAAAACATAAACTTTACGGTTAAAGAAATTCAACAGCGGAAATAATTACAGCAACTATCATTGTTTAACAGAAGAAAAAAAAAAACACATTTCTGTGCAGAAGTTCCTGAATTATGAAATACTTTAAGCAGTTTTGAAGGTTTTTCAAAGTTATTCTTTAAAATTTGGGAGATTTTTTAAAATAATTTAAGTTGCAAATAACTTGTAGAAGTTTATTTTGCTTCCTTAATTTATTACAGATGCATCTTCAGAGACTCTGAGGTCGTTTCGTTTTTAAGATACCAATTTTAGAATATTCTGATTTTCTTTATGTATAGAAATAATAAAATATTTTCTCCTTTCAGCATAAATTGAACATGAATGTAAAAGTTATACACAAATCTGCAAATACAGTAAAATCCTCCAGGCTGGGACAGAAATAATAATAAATAAAATAAAACTAACATGAATAATAGAAAGACAGCTGCATCTAATTCTTGACTGTTTCATGTAAAATTATTTATTCCACCTACAGAGGAACTGTTATTTACAACAACAACAATTAATTGTCTATATTTGGTCTATAAATATATCAAGTTAAGTTTTAACCTGTTTGCTTCAGTTTCTTCCTGGACGCTTCCAGCAGCTTTTCTATTTCTTCTAACTTAATTTTTAAACACTTCAGTGAAACATCATCAGCATCACTGATTTAGCTGAACCTTCAGGTCAACTTCTACACCGAAGAGTGTTTTCAATCAGAGCAGTCCATTAATGCTTACATACTCTGAGTTTATCCAGTTAGGAAATGCTTAGATCTTTAGTGTCTCATCAATTCGTCAAGCCGATAATCTCCTAATAATGTTTATAGCAGATTTCTTGCTGCATCTTTGTGAAAAAGATAAAGTTGCTGGAGTTTTCATTGATGCAACAATCACAACTTTTTAGATGAACTATTGTTTGTTGAAACTTCTTTCGTCCATTTTCACTGTTATTTTAAGCAACCAGTTTAGAAAGACTGAGCAGGAAGAAAGAGAAAAACTCCATCAAGACAGTTCAAGAGACTTTGTGACATTTTGATGAAAATTCCCTGCATCGACAATAAAGTCTGAAAAATCAAGACAAAGCATCAGCACAAAACATCAAGTTTCTTTAAATAACCATCATGTTTTTCAGTCACTGTTAGGTTTTTCTGTCAGTCCCAACAGCCACAATTTAAACATATTTCTAGGCCACAATAAACAATAAATCAATTAATCGCATGATAAGTTAATAGAAACTCAATAATTTTCATTTACTTGATTTCTCGTTTTTCTCTCATTTTCCCAAAACCTGAATGATAAAAGTTTTCAGTCTGGTGCTTTTTGTCTCAACTATCCCTTTTTTGAAAGATCATTTTGTTTACAGACTTCATGATTTATGTTATTTGTTGTTTCTGTTGTTTTCTTTAATTATTTTGGATATTTCAAATGTCTCCCAGTTCTAGTGTTTAAATGTTCATTAGAGTTAAAAGTTTATTGATCTTTGAGAACGTGTTCCTGCATTTTTATATCATTATTATTATTATTATTATTACTTGAAAATGTTCTCAAAACAACGATATTATCGTTTATCACAATAAGTTCTGGGACAAAATTTATCGTGACAGGCCTACATTTCCTCAAAGTCTCCATTATTCATATTAAAAATATGCAATCATAGATTTAATAAGGAAGACAGTCTGTGTTGAATTTACAGCTGGTGGACATCCACCTTCCCCCGTCGTCTCGATTTAGGACAAGTCGCCGAGGTCGCTGACCCCCTCACTGGTGTTAAAGGAGGTTGGTCTGTGACCCTGCCTCAATGCGGCCTTTTGTTTGGCTCTAATATCCTTATCAAGAGCGTCTAGACACCCTGACAACCACCATCATCCCCCCACCAGAGCCCCCGACAGACAGCGCGGTGCAGTGTGAAGTCGGCCGACCGGCGGCCATTAAAGTGTCACATAACTGTCTGAAATACAAACATCTCCAAATGTGAACAAAAACATGCGACACGAACACGGAGGGCGTTACAAGCTTTAAGTGTCGCTAAGGAGAGAAATGCTAGACTTTCAGTTTCTCTCTCTACGTCTTTATGGTTAAACATATAACATTATTTATGAGGCTGAATAAAACAAACAGATGAAGGAAATACCTGCACTGCTACCCAGCTGGCGTTGACAGTGTGTTCTCCAAATGGTCCAAAACCTGCAAGAGACCCAATGTTTACTCAAGATTACAATCACGAGTGTGTAAAAGAAAAAAAAACTTTTCTTCATTATATTCATGCAGAGAAAATGTGATGACTCAGTTTAATTAGTAAGAAAGTCCAAATGTTATATGTTTTAGTGCTGAGCTGCAAATAAAAACAAGCCTGTCATTAAACAAAAAGGTGAAAAATAAACACACTTTTCTACAGAGCATGAGTAATTATCGCCACTTCATGCAGAGCATCATAAAGACTGAAGAAAAATGTCTGGACAGCTAATGGCTGTTCGGCCAGGCTTGTTTATGTAGGGATATACGACTGATCCCCCCCTGCTCCTTCTCCTCCACCCGTCCCGGGGTCAGCGGGTCCCTGGGGGTTGGGTGGAGAAAGGATCAGTCTGTCTGACAGGCTGCTGAAAAGGAGCAGAGCGAGGGGCCAGCAGCTGCCAGCCGGCCCGCTATTGTGCAGGAACTATTCCCAGGCAATCTACACATCCAGCGCTTCGGATGGGGCTGCGAGTCTCTGCACTCTTTTGTGTCTGACTGCACAAAATCTCAGTCTGGAGCTCCTGTGTGAAGGCAACAGTCAGGACTGTACTTTGTGCAGTTGGGAAGCATTGACTTAACAGAGCGAGATATGACATCACACCTCGCAATATTAGTTTTTCTAAAAAATAATCATAAAAATATGTTTTCATTTTTCAAAACTGGCAATATTTTAGAATAAGTTTGTTATTTACTGATGGAAAAGATATTAACATATTTGATAACTAGAAGCAAGAAGGATTTCACTGCTTTTTAAGTAAAACAATAAACATAAGAAGAGATATTTTACACATATAGCAACATAGTACAAATATAAAAGCTCTGGAACATTATTGGGCTGCTAATTAATTAATTAGTGATCTAATGAGGAGACAGATCCTCACTCTTTAAAAGCAAATAAAATCAAAATATAAACAGTTACAAATAAGGTAAAAACATAATTAAATGTATAAAAGTATCAGAAAAACGTTTAAATACTATAAAATGCAGCTTTTTCTTTTCCTTTTGCTGTCAATAGATAATAATAACTATTAATGAATAATAATAAATTATTTTATTTTAGACCAACAGGATAAGTTATTGTTTAAAACTCGAGATAACGTAGGTTAAAAAATATATTACGTTTAAAGACATAATCCATAAACAATACAAGAAAAACAACACAGATTTAAGAAAGACAACAAGCAATTATTAATTTATGTTAGAAAACTAATAATTTTGTAAAGTCTTTTGTGCAGTCAAAATTATAAGATGCTGAGCAGCTGTGTATTAAAAGCAAGTGAATAACTCTGCAAAGTGAGCAACAAAGCGTTTCTTTCAGGGCACAAGTGCAGCTCAGAACAACCTGACGCCATTAAGGGCAGAGCAGTTGTCATCTTCTCCAACTTTTCTGTTACTTCATTCACTCCCGGGAGCACGACAACAACAGCGCCGAAACGAGACACCGACCTGTCACCACCACAGTCCGGCTGCTGTTATCCATCGCCTGAAATGTCGCCTAGAATCCGTCGCTTCTTCTCGGTTCGTAAACTGAAGCAGATCCCCGCAGAGAGTCGAAGCCCCCCCCTAAGCTGACGGCTCCTTCTGCCACAATCAGAGAAAACTAGCCCGTTCTCCTTCATTCTACGTGGTGCGTTGAACGCAACGTCGTGACGTTGACGTGAAACGCTCTTCTTCTGTGTCTCGTTAGCGGTCGGTAAACTAGCTGCTGATGCACTTACCGCCACCAAGTGAATTCTTGTTTTCAGAACGTGTTATAATGTTTTTTGCAGAATGTTTTTTTTTTTTTACTGTAAAATGTGTATTCAGTTATAACAGTGCTGTTTTAAGAGTATTTCTTCTTTTTTTAACGGTCTTTGCTGTACAACTATTCAACGAGATACACTGAAAGCTATTTCAAACAAAAAAAGGAATCTGAACTCAAAGCCGTTGAAGATGCACGTTTTCAGCAGCAGGGGGCAGCACTATAAGATATGGTCCGCTAACATTAGGAGGCGAAGAAGAAGTGTAGGTGGGAAAAGCCGTGTTATTCATCGCAGGAGACAAGAAATAGAAACAAATATAATCATAATGGTGAGTAAATAACGATTAAGTCTGATCGGTTGCTTTCTTTTATTTATCTAAAATGAAAATCGTAAGTTTGATTGACAGAAACAAAGTTTATAGGTTTGTAAACCAGGAAACTGTTGAGCCGACAGCTAACTAATGTTAGCATCTGTGGTTAAATGAGGTCTTTGTTACTCAAATAAGTATTTTATGGGTTAGAAACTTGTCTTGTAATTTCATAAATATTCATACTTGGTTCTATGAAGGTCGTGTTTGTCGTTGATACTGTAATATTTATTTAAATGACTCGTTGGATACTAATGGACAACTTGTTTGCTGCGGATAAGACAGCAGTTGCTTTGATTGCGCTTTATACAAATATAAACTATGTATTTGTGTTATTTTTCAGCTTCCATTGTCTCTGTTGAAAACTGCCCAGAACCATCCCATGGTGAGGAGACACACCGACTCCTAAATCATTCAGTTTTAATGCTCATATCCCACACATCTAAGTACAATGTCGTTTGTGAAGCACTTGTTATGATGCGTTTGGCACAAGCAACTTATCAGGGTGATGTATCCTGTGAACTGTAGTGTCTTCTGTGCTGAGGACTCATAATTACTTATTTATATGATGACTTGTTTTGTTTTCCAGCTGGTTGAGCTTAAGAATGGGGAAACCTACAACGGCCACCTGGTGAGCTGCGACAACTGGATGAACATCAACCTGAGAGAAGTCATCTGCACATCCAGGGTAAAGCCGTGGTCAATCACCTTCTAATGTGTCCAGATTAAATGTGCTTTTAAGATGACTTAAAGCATCTCTGAGCTACAGGGAGCCAGAGGAAGGACTCTGGGACTGGTGCTCTATCTTCCTGGTCTTAGTCAGAACACCAGCAGCAGCATTCTGGATCAGCTACAGCTGATTGATTATTTTTAGGCAGTTCTGTGAAGACAGTCTAACAGTAATCAATGTGACATCTGTGAATTTCTCAATATATTGTTGGGACATTAGTTCTTTAATCCTGGAAATGTTCTTGAGGTGATAGAAGGCCGACTTTGTAACTGTCTTTATGCGTCTCTGTTAAGCCTATAAGACGTATAGCAGGAAAAAATCCTGGAGATTTTGGTAAAAGACATGCAAAGAGTATCATCTTTAAATCAAGAAACTGTGATGTGTCATATGTTTAGGCTAAAGCTTTTTGTGAATTGTTTCTTCATCCTAAAATCCTTCCTGTTTTTGAACTTGATTCTACCATTTTTCTTGGGATTTTTTTTTTTTTTAAATTCAGGATGCTGAACTGAAGGAAGCTTTTTTCTGATATATTGATAGAAAATTGATTTAAAGAGCAGATGAAGTTTCAGAAAGGTTAAGAGAAGTTTAATATTTGACTTAAAATCACCTTAAAATACCAAATAAACTCTGTTCCTTTCTAACAATTGTTCTTAAAAATTCCTAGCAGTCGTTATTTTCATCATTACTCATTCTTTGTCCTGTTTCATAGAGGCTTTCAGTCTTCAATGACTAAATTATCGACACTCACTTCCCCCACAGGATGGAGACAAGTTCTGGAGGATGCCCGAGTGCTACATCCGAGGAAGCACGATCAAGTACCTGCGGATCCCCGATGAGATCATCGACATGGTGAAGGAGGAGGTGGTGTCGAAGGGGCGCGGGCGCGGCGGCGCCCAGCAGAACAAGCAGCAGGGCAAAGGAAGAGGAGGACCCAGCCGAGGTGAACAGAACCACTTCCTGTTGTTTCCTCTCATAAATGTGCTGCTCAAACCTTCCACAGTTAAACCTCCTGATTTGTTTTGCTGCTAGAGGAGATTAGCTGTCAGTTTAAACGCGTGTGGACCGTCTGATTTGCAGGTGTGTTTGGCGGCCGCGGCAGAGGGATGTCCGGTCCGGGGCGGGGCCAGCAGCCGCCGACCGATAAGAAAACAGGAAAAGCTCAGGGAATGAAGAACCAGCACTGACCCAAGCAGCCCGTTAGCTGAGCGGTTCCTGATACATTCAACACTGAAGCTGTGCTGATTGTACAGATTTTTTTTTTATTTGTCTCCTCATCTTTACAAATTTCTGTCAAACTGTGGAGGAATATCCACCTGTTGTGTTGTGAACAACACAAGATTTTTCATGATGTAGGAAGTGTCCAGTCTGTGCGAATATATTTTTAAATGTCTTTTTATTTACTTTAGTTGTGCGTTTGATATGATGACATCAGGAGAAACATCAGACTGGGAGCTTAAAGGGTTCAGCTCCTGAACTTTAGTTAAAAACATTTTCAAGGAGATGCATGAAACGATTCTCATATTCTTCATATGGAAATGGAAAAGTCCAACATATGTTGAGTTTTCTTTTATTTTTCTAACAACACATTGTAATTTATGTACAGAAGAACGTGAGAATAAAAAATGTTTTGAAAGCAGTTTATATTTTCTGAAAATATTTATTTTTCAGTGGTTTAATTTACAAATCTGAGGTACTTTAATTACTTGGCTTTTAAGGTTTTTATTTATTTTTAAACTAATAGAATAAACTCCAAATCAAACTTAAAGTCTTACAATATTGGGCTGATTTAAAATGTAACCAAAGAGTTTAAATTTGTGTCAACTCCAAAGCAAAATTAAACGACTTGATCTGAAGTTTGAAGACAATCTGGAGGGTTTATAAATTAAAACTCTTAACTGGCTATCAGTCAAAATCATCCATATTCACAGAAACAAAATATTTAAATCTGCTGACAAAATTTAATAAGTTTCTCACTGTTTTACAATAAAACATTACAACTCCTCACCAATTCAATAATCACTAAGCAGTCAAGATTATTTTTGATGATTTTAATTCCAGTGATGAGTACAATCAAAACAAAAAAATCACTTATAGGTAAAACATATGGTTGATTTTTTCCCCCCTAATGACACTTTATTAATTACATGATGGTTCAACAGTGAAGCTAATAGTAAACTAAAAGTAATGCCTAAGAATAAAAAGTATTTTAAAAGTACACTTACAAACATTACTTTCCTCAACAGTTCCTGACTTTATATTCCATGTGAAATTCAGCACTTATTGTCATTTCTTATATCAAAATGTTAACATATTTATTGTTAAAGCATAATTGTCTCCACAAAAGAAAAATAAACACATTGGAATATTCAAACATATAACTTCAGCTTGAAAAATAATTGTTAGATGACTTAAAATGTTTCTAAACTGTTTTTCTGCGTCTCATCTGACTTCTCAGGTACATTCTCAGATACACAGTAAAAAAAATAAGAATAAAAACATGGCAATTTATCACATGCAGCACAATCCCATCGTTCTAAGCAACAATTTTAGTAAAACAAAAAAAATAAAAAAAACAAAAGAATTTGAAATTTTGTAAACAGAAGCAACAGAAATATGCCATTTTTAAAAAAAAAATTAAGTCTTGTAAATATTTAAAAAAAAATTAAATGTGTTCAAGTAAAAACATTTTCATAAGTATGTCCAACATTTTCACCATAAACTCAAAATAATTGTATTGATAAGAGCATTTAACATAACTGCACTTATGCCTTGCTTAATAAATGGGAATAAATTCAGTAGAATAGCAAATATTCAAGTAAAAGAAAAAAAAAATTATTTAAATCTTAAATACACAATGCCAAATTCTTCTGATATTTAAATCTTCTAAATAAATCATTAAAAAAGTAAATGTGTTTAAAACAAGTAAAACATTTTTTTAAGTTTGATATAAAACAGCAATATGGTATTGATCGGAGAATTTTAAGCTAAAACACGTCTCTGTACTTAAAAATGTTTTAATAAATGGAAAAAGACAGCAAATATTTAAATTAAAAAAGAAAAACCCTCTTGTTTTAGTTTCAAATCTTAATAAATTAAAAAATATGCAACAATTTTCTAAAATGTAAGTCTTGTAAATAATTAAATCATTCAAAAAATTGTAAATGTGTTTAAAAGAAGTAAAAGCAATTAAACTGAAAACATACCTGTACTTAAAATATGTTGTTTAATAAATGGAAAAAAAAAATCAAAACCGCAAATATTTAAGTCAAAATTAAGTATTTTCTTATTTCGAATCTTAAATCAAAAATATGCCAAACTTCTCAAGTTTAAGTCTTACGTATAAATTGTTCAAACAATGTAAATGTATTTAAAACAAGTAAAAACTTTTTCCTGTACCAACAGTTTCACTATAATAAACACAAGTATTGTATCGATAAGAGCACTTAAATTTGAAAACATATCTGAATTTAAAAATGTTTTAAAAAATGGAAAAATGCAACAGCATAGCACAAATTTAAGTAAAAATAAGAAAAACCCTTGTTTTTTTTTGTTTTTTTTCAAATCTTAATACATTTGTTATCCCAAACACACAACCTTTATGACCCAATAATCAGAGAATAAAATATTGAACAATAACATTTTTAAAAGAATAAAAGTATTAATAACATGAACTAATGCATCATAAACCAGCTGAGATAATTTTGTTCATGATTGGTTAGAAATAAATTATAGTTATAATTACTGTCATACAGTGATAAAATATACTGGAAAAACAAAAAGTTTCTTTGTTCAACAAAACAACCAGAAATAAATGGAAAATCTTCAGCAGTCGCCTCATCCCTCCTTCA